TCCGAAAATATTTTTTCATAGGGATGTTTAGTTGTCATAATAAATTGGTCATTTTGTTTACAATATTGGTAAAAATATGAAATTAAGATTTTTTATTAATTTGAAATACTGTATTTCATATTCCTCTACTGAAAAATATGACCTTTGCCAGCTACAAATACTTGGTCCTTCCTTTACGTATGTAGATTCATTTCTAAGTGGTTTTTCATATACAGAACTTTTAGTGCACCAACACATTTTATCTTGGTTAAAATTATCATTCATAACAAGAGCCCCCCAGTTAACACCAAAAGTTGGACCATAATAAGGATCGCAACAAATTGCACGGTTCGGGATAGTCACACGACTTAAAACAGAATTTTGAATAGTACCATTTTTCAGTGAAAAAATAAAGCTATCATTACAATTCTTAGTGAAAATAGGTCTATCTACTGGTTTATCCCATCCAACAGGATTATATCCACCAAGAATTTCATCAGTACCTTTAACCTTCATAACTACAACAAGATGTGCTTTCTTATCACATAAATTCCAAAATGAAGCAGCAGTAAAATCATCTCTGGTTCCACGAAAAAGTAATTTAAATTCGTATGGATTATTTGTTGCATAATACGTTTCAGCTTTTTTATCAACCCATGAAGCAATTTTAGCTGCATGTGCATCACTTATAACTGCTGAAAATGGTTCGGCAATTCTTGTAGGTAATGTAGGTGTTAAAATTAAGCGAGGAGGAAGAACAGTTGACATTACTGGTTGATTTGTCATAAACTTTCTTGTGATGTCTTTCCAAAGCTTTTTTTCAAAAATTTGTTGATATGATTGCACATTATTAAAAATATCCTCACTGGACATTTGAAAATAACGGATATGAGGCAAACAATTCTGTAAAGTAGCCTTTAAGGCCAGAAAATTTTCATGAGACCAATCTTCAGGATCGGATGGTAGGCCAGGATTTTTAGCAATTCCCCATTCGATAACACGCTTCCAAATTTTTACTTCCTCCATTTGTAAATCATCTCGACTAATAAGTGATACTAATGCATTTTCTTGAAGTGTGATAAAGTCTTCTGAATCGAAAATCTTGCTAGGGTACTTTACTAGAAAATCATTGCACCATTTCTGTAATTCTTGAAGCTTATCATTCTGAAAACTTTTTTGATAAATACGAGTAAAACGTAAACGAAGCCAGTGAGCTTTTGTTTCAATTAATTGAGTTTCAAGGTATTTTGCTAACTCATCAAAAAGAAATTCGTAAGCGATAAGCATAAGTTCAAAAATAAATGATGCATCGTACTTTTCAAGTTCAACTATCCCTCCATAGATATATCTTTTAAAATTTTAATTCATTTTAGTTTTTTTTTTTGAAATATAAAACGTAATATAAATAACTTACTTTATAATAATCTCAAACTGTTGAATAGAAATATTGATTAAATCAAGTGTTTTAAAATTATTTCTGCCTTTACTATTATTTGCTAATTCATTACGAAAGTATAAAGATCTATGTCTTAAAATTGCTGAATGTGCTTGGAATTCCTTTATATTTGGAGATTCACCAACATTAATGACAATATTGAAATCTTCTTTGTCATCAAGAAGTTCAAGATAGTTATTTGAAAGTTTTTCTAAGAATTTTGCAACCATATTATTGAAGTGTAAAAAGGTTTGGTTGTTTGTCTGTTAAGAATCTTTTATCGTCAATTCTAACTAACGATAGTGCTAATCTTATATGAAATGCGTACGTACGTACGTACTGTACGTACTGCATGATTATGTATCACATATCTATCTATGGGAATATAGTAAAGTAGTACAATACGAAGACGTAAATTAGGACGGACGTGTAGAAATCAAGATAGTACGTACAGTTTGTAAAGGAAAAACTTCGTCAAGCCCATGGTACTTTTACTAATTACCCCAACGTGAAAAAAGGATAATACTAGCACTCACCCTAACATTAACCATTAAAAATGGGTACTTATAAAAATTGCGGTATTCAGTAAAATAGTACTGTACGCTAGTACAAATTCAGATGGACATACGAAAGTCATACGGCTAATATAGACTTGTAAATTTCAATTTTTATAAGTACGTAACCATTTTAATGGTTAGAGTTAGGGTGAGCGCTAGTACGTATTGTCTTTTTTTTCATGTTGGGTTAATAATAAAAGTAACATGGGCTTGACGAAGTTTTCTTTACAAACCATATATACTATCTTGATTTCTACACGTCCGTTCTAATTTGCATTTCCATACTGTGTTACTTCATTATTTACCCCTAAAGAGATTGCAACTTTACTTTCTGTGCCAGGTTATATCGATCATTGTGATGCAGTAAAAAATTTTAAAATTTGTTAAAATTCATTAATATTTGGGTTAGTATTTAGAATGAAGTTTGAAATTAGATGATTATATAGTAAAATTACTCAAAAAAAAACTTTTATTAGAGTACTAAAGGTGGTTTTTTATACAATTTTTGAAAAATAAGTAATTTTAGACAAAATAAATATTGATTTAAATCTCTTGACCATGTTATATTATATCTGATTTTTAAAATCTGATTTGCCAGAGATCTATATCGCACTAATTGATATAACCTAGCACAGAAAGTAGGAGTATAAAAGATCACACATAATAATTACAGTAAATAAGAAATTATATAATTTTAAAATTTATAAGAATTGATAGTCACAGGTCAAATATATGCAATTCAACCTCCTATATTTTATAAAAATTCTAAGGGGAATTGGCATCTGATTTATGATCGATAGTTAAAGATATAGTTGATAGTTAAAAAATTTATAATTGAAAAAAATTTTTTTGGTGCAAAGTATACAAGTTTGTAAAAAATTTTCACAAATAAAAGTATATAATAAATTAAATATTAATTTATATTTTGTTTTTTATTAAAAATATATAATTATATACAACTATTATGATACTATCATTTCTAAATAACTATACTAATACCAAGAAACTAAAATGATATGAAAAACCAAAATACTAAATAATTAGAGCAATATCAAAAACTAGAATATCAAGATACTAGACTAGTATCAAGAAACTAGAATGACATGAAGAACTAAAAACATTATTAAAAAAACACTAATAAAAAAAAAGTAAACAGATTAGTAAAAGGAAAGAAAAAGTATATACTTATATTGATTCGGTAAAGAAAAACGAAAAAAAATTAAAAAAAACAAAAGACAAAAAAATGATTGTATTATTGTATATTCCAGATCAACAATATAGTTGTAAAACAAACCCCTATATATTATTATTACATATTGTTAAATCTAGAAATTCTCAATTCTGCAAATCCACTGCACTGATATGATTTTTCCAATTATTGACCTAAAATCAGATATCAATTCCTCTTCAAATTGCTATATAAATATCAGAGGCTGAATAATAAGTAGAAATTGTGTTGATTTTTTTATATATAGACAATTTTAGATTTTTTTTGGGTTAATTTTTTTTCATATAGACAATTTTAGATTTTTTTTAGATCGATATTTATTAATATTCAGCTAAGTCAATTTTCATATGTTCAACCAGTGAATGTAAGATTCATGATTTAATACAGATAAGTGAATTCATAATTTTATAGTGGGTTGACTTATAATTTTAATAGTAGGTTGAATTATAATTTGAGTAGTGAATAGGTTAATTTTAATAGTAAATAAGCTTATAATTTAGTAACATAGATTTATGATTTTAGTAATAATATTTATATCCTTAATAGTTTGTAATTTTAATAATAGGCAGAATGTAATTACAAATTGAATACCAATAAAAGATGAGTTTATTTATAATGCTAGTAGTAGATAATGTTTCTAAGTTCAGTTTAGTTCAATTTAGATTCAAGATCAATTGAATCTAAACTAAATTTTAATATTTGAAACTAAACTTAAAATTTATAATTTGAACTAAACCTAAACTTAAAAATTTAATATTAAATCTAAACTAATTTTTTTTTAAAAATGCTAAAGTTTAGTTTAATTTTGAACTAAACTTGAACTTAACCAAAAATTCAATTCAGTTTAGTTCATAGGAACACTAGTAATAAATAAGTAATAAATTTATAATTTTGATACTAATTAAATTTATGATTTTAATAGTGGATAGGCTTATAATTTAGAAAATAAATATTTAATTGTGACAATATGTAGATTTATATTTTTAATAATAGTTATTTTAAAAATAGGTGACTTTACAATTTAGTAGTGATTATTAAATAATATATTTTAGTAAAAATAAAAATTAATAAATTTACTATTTTAATAACAGGTGTTAGTTTTGGTTATTTTTTAAACAAATATTTTAATATCTATGTTTTGTGCTAACTTTTGGTTAGATTTATCAAAAACTTTAATCTCATATTAAAGGCATGGGTTATATGCTAATTTCTATATAATTACTAATTTTTATATCCCAAAGATGTAATTATAGAAAGATTTGATTATTTTCTAAGTTTATAAAAGTATATAATATATTTTTAAATTAAAAAATTTGAAATTCAAATATTTAAGTTTGTTCAAATATTTGATTGAAATTCAAATTTGGATTTGATTTTGGAAAGCACTATTTTAGATATCAAAACCTACTAAAACGAGATATATATTGGTTCTTTATTACGCGTTTATAATCATAACTACTTATGCGATGTTCTTACTTTATTAATTGAAATTCATATATACTTTTTAATGCTTGGTATGTACTTATATACGCATATAGGATCACATTTAGAAGTATAACACCATACTATGGTATTTATATTATTTATATATACTATGTAACATATGACACAATTATGTTTAGGAAGACAGATTAATGCAGAAATAATGGTCTGCATTTTATGTCAGATTATTTAAAAAAAAATTATATAGGGCTTAAGCAATATGGATAAAATTATAAACAGGACCTTAAAAGAATCTTTAAAAAAAAAGCACTATTCTATTTGTTATGCTACGTAAAATTTGATTTATAGTGCGAAAATTTTAATTCTGTAAAAAGACTCCGTATAAGTTATACAAATTAATATCCTCTTGTGTAAAGTAAAGGAACGAATCTGTGGTTGGATAGGTGGTCTGATTTAGAGGTATCGGTTGAAATGGTGTTGGTCCAACGAGTGTTTTTTGTGGAATTATGTAAGGTTGGTAATGTCCATTATTGGAATTGTTAGCTGAAGATGATTTTGGACGAGCGGGAGAAGGTTTGTACTTGTATCCTGGATACCGTTGTGAATGTAGATTTTGCACATCAAGAGCTAAATTCTCATAAATTTCCTTGTTTTTCAAAAAAAAAACAAAATTATTTTTCTCATGAAAATAAAAATAAACACACATATATATAAGAATTATCACTAGAAAGGTTGGACCAATTCGATTGCTTTCCCTCAGTAAAAACAAAAAAATTTCAATATATATGGTTCTTTGATAGGAAAAGCATTTTCCGATCGGGCTAATTCGGACAAATTCATTCATGTAAATCATTTTTGTTGAACAAAAAATGGTTTAAAATGTTCCGGATTGACCCGATCGGAAAACGTCGAAGGGTGATTTTCTGGCAAAGATCCTGACATTTCCGATTGGAAAATTTTAATAAAATTTACTATATATTCACTACCTTTTCCCCTCTTTTAAATTGGTCCGGCCTAACAAGGTGGTTTATTAATATGTACGTACCCTTTCTTGTGGCGAAGCACTACGCCATAACATTCCTGTGACTTTGCTTATAACTCTCATGTTTTGTATTCCACATTGTTTTGCTTGTTGGTGCACGTTCTTTCTGCATAGCAGAAAACCGTTAGGTGGGCGAGGTATTCCTGAAGTTTTTTGTTTTACTGGATCGATCAAATCTTCAGGTTTATTGTAGTAAGGAGGGAAAACTTTGGTCTGGTCAAGTTTATTTATAAGGATGTCGGCCATATCACTTAAGGATAATGATGATGACGATTGGTTTGGTTTAGATTTATTAATGAACATATCGTGCGTTTTCTGTGTGCTGAAAGAAGTTTTATTGCCGTTTTAAAGAATGTCATGGCCTTAACTAAGGCTTTATATAACTTTGTCTTGTAATATATATAGAAGTGATCCGTTTAATGCTATTCTATGCATACGCGTGCACTTATTTGTGAGTGATACAAATCCAAAAATGGAAATTAGCAAATCGGAGAACGTAAAATGTGATTATCCGAATCAGACCGACACGTGCGCAAAGCGAAGAAAATTACGAAAAAAAAACGAAAATATAAGAAACCGGGTGTTTAAACCTGTCCTGGGACACTAATTAAAAGTAACGGGAATAAACTTTTACATATTGAAAGTAAATGTTTATTTCGATATCATCTAACTTTAACGTTTTAACCCTAAAGTTCTATTTTCACGAACTTAGTTTATTTTTATGTTAAATTTCCTTTTTGGGTTCGCTAGCACAAATAAGTATTTCCACCCTTTGTAAATTTTTAGACTCAATTATTAGAAAGTTCAATATAATACCTGACAAGTTTTATGTTGTTTGCTAATTATAGTTATGTAATTTTCTTTCTCGTTAGCAATTTGTAAATCCGGAGATGTTCACGGAAAAAAAGATGGATCAAAATACACCAACATATTATGTAATTTTCTTTTTCTTACTTAAAGCATAATTCCAATATAATTTAGTTATCATTTTGAAATAAACCTGTTAAACTTATTAAGGTTGCTTATTTAAAAATGTTTTCAAATTTAATTGGTGCTTCATGTTTTTTTCTAGATCCTCCTATTAATAAAAATATCTATTTTTCCATTTTTCTGGCTTACTATTTTCCCTACTAAAGTTTCGAGGAAATTATTAATCTTTTTTATTTGTACTCTGATAGTAAATGTTCGTTTTTTCATTTTCTAACTTTTCTCGCTCCGTACTCATTTCGTTTAAGGTCGATCCTCTGAATGTGTTTTTCACTGTGTGACATTATCATCGATAATCCGACTCAATACTTTATCTATATAATTCAGAATTCTTTTTATTATAATAATATGTATTGAATGTAGTACCTTATGAAAGTAATTACCAATTTTATTGTTCCTTATCAGTCGATCAACATGTCACATTGGGATGTCAAATGCAAATTTGCAAACAGAGTCCAGGTGGTGACTGGTAATACCATTTTGAAATTGATAGTATCGGGTACTATTCACGAATCCAGCGATTTCATTGGTAGAGAAGAGGTATTTTTTGTGGTAGGATACTATTTTTTGGGGATACTAATAAGCAGTGCTATACGGTACTACAAGGCTTTAGACCCCACTAATTAGCAATTTTAGGGTTAGCATTAGATCTGAAGTTTACAAATCTGCTATAAATAATTTTTTAAAGTTACATACAATTAAGTCTACGATAAATATGTAAACTCTGGGTTTATTCTGTGTCTTTTTTTAATTTCATATTGATAACAATCCCAGACATAAACTATTCTATTAGTATTCCTATTCTTGGCCGATTTGTGATAAATTGAATTGAAATTTTGTGGAAGGAATGCAGGTTTTGTAAATCTATTACTAAGACACACTAATTTTCAGATGTTAAAATTGATAACGGATTAATACATAACTATTACAGATACAAGTGTTCTTTTTTACCTGGTAAGTTGCTTGTAAGTTTAAACTCAATATAGTTTTATAATATCTTATTATTTGGCTGATTCAATCATGCTAGCAAGTTACTAATATATAGCTAGAAGAGTCAATATGTGGCACTAACTAATCGATGAACTATAAGTGACCTCACGGCACTTTGGGTGATTCGATATTTATGTTGTACGTTGAATTGAAAGGTAGGTATTAGCGGCATTATAATTATTTTGATTTGACGCATATTTTAATTTGACGTACAACCTTTGTATCTTACCATATACCCTATCGTTTTACGACGATCTCTAATTCAATATGGGGCGCATCAAGCCAAAACACGGCTTTAAATTTTGAAAAAATCACGTTTAAAATTTGGATCGACATCAATTAGCCAATCACACAAATGCATTTCTATGACTCTGCAGCAAGGATCGACAATCGGATTTCTAAATTCTAATTTTAGATTAATATACGAGATTTTAAAAGAAGGCATCGACAAAATTTTATTATGCAAATCAATATTTTAAATATCAAATTAT